AATTGTTGACTTGCGTGAAGCTGGAAAGGGTTACAAAAGTATCTCCAAAAGCCTTGATGTTCATGTGTCCACGGTAAGACAGACTGTCTACAAATGGAGAAAGTTTAGCACTGTTGCTACTCTCCCTAGGCGTGGTCGTCCTGTAAAAATGACTGTAAGAGCACAGTGCAGAATGCTGCATGAGGTAAAGAAGAATCCCAGAGTGTCAGCTAAAGACCTACAGAAATCTCTGGCACATGCTAACATTTTTGTTGACACATCTACAATAAGTAAAACATTAAACAAGAATGGAGTACATGGGAGGACACCACGGAGGAAGCCATTGCTGTCCAAAAAGAATATTGCAGCACGTTTGAAGTTTGCAAAAGAGCACCTGGATGTTAAATATAAATTTTTTATATAAATATACTGTGGACAGATGAAACCAAGATTGAGTTGTTTGGGAAGAACACACAGCACAGCACACCAATCCAAGAAAAAACATCAAAACCTCATCCCCACTGTAAAACATGGCGGAGGGAGCATCATGGTTTGGGGCTGCTTTGTTGCCTCAGGGCCTGGACGGATTGTTGTCATTGGATGGGAAAATGAATTCCAGAGTTTATCAAGACATTTTGCAGGAAAATGTACGACCATCTGTCCCCCAACTGAAGCTCCGCAGAGGATGGGTGATGCAACAGGACAATGACCCAAAGCATACAAGTAATGCAACAAAACAATGGCTGCAACAGCACAGAATAAGCCTTCTGGAGTGGCCCAGTCAGAGTCCTGACCTCAACCCAATTGAAATGCTGTGGCATGACCTTAAGAGAGCGATTCACACCAGACATTCCAAGAATATTGCTACACTGAAACAGTTTTGTGAAGAGGAGTGGTCCAAAATTACTCCAGATCGTTGTGCAGGTCTGATCTGCAACTACAGGAAATGTTTGGTTGAGGTTATTGCTGCCAAAGGAGGGTCAATCAGTTATTAAGTCCAAAGGTTCACATACTTTTTCCTCCCTGCACGGTGAATGTTTACATGTTATGTGCAATTAAACCATGGCAACATCTAATGTTTGTGTAGTATTATGTTCAGCAGACTGTGTTCTTCTATTGTTGTGACTTAGATGACGTTCAGAGCACATTTTATGCCCAATTCATGCAAAACTCCACGTAATCCCAGAGGGTTCACATACTTTTTCTTGCAACTGTATATATACTGTATATATATATATATATATATATATACACCATAGTTTGTGTCCCTATAACTTTCCTACAGACTAAACAATAACCACTGATTAGGGTTATTTTCACTAAATAAATGTAGCAGAATACAGTTTAACCTAAATCTATGAAGAAAATGATTTTTTTTTTTTTTGCAAAATTGTATAACAAAAACGAAGGAAAACGTGTTTTTTCCCCAAAATTTTGGTCTTTTTTTTGTTTATTTTGCAAAAAAAAAAAAAACCCCAGGGGTTAATAAATACCACCAAAAAAAGTTCTATTTGTGTGAATTTTTTTTTTAACATTTTATTATGGGTACAGTGTTGCATGACTGCGCATTTCCCATTCAAAGTGCGTCAGCACTGAAAGCTGAAAATTGGCCTGGGCAGGAAGGGGGTGAAAGTGCTGAGTATTGAAATGGTTAGATGAACAGTGTTTGTGCATGAGACACAGTGCAGGGGCAGGCTGCTTACACTTTTAGAGTCATGCCCTCTGGGAATGGGGGACTTGAGAAAGCAGCTGCTCTTTTGGGGGAAAATGCTACAAATCAGAAAATCTAAAAAGGGTAGCAGTAGTGCTTGAGGGGTCTATCAGATCCTCCACACTGCAGTGACTGTGAGTCAACACTAGAGTATATGCTAAAGTTAATATTTTCAGCATTCAGTTCCAGATTGTAAAAATACCTGTCACCATTTGTCTCAGCAACCAGTTAGGCCTCATGCACATGGACATAACAAAATGCCGCTTCTAGGGGTGTCTGGCATTTTTTATGCCCATTAATGCAGCTGCATGTTATTTAATGTGGCCATGCACATGCAGGCGTTTATATGTGTATTTGTGCGCAGTATTCAGGGGCCTTGAAGAATTGCCCCAAAGGTACATTTGGAGAGGCACATATAAACATAATTTACGTGTGTACATGCAGAAATGCACACAAGCAAGTAAATTTGTTCTAATGGCTAGAATAAATTATAGGCTTGGTTCATAAAATAAATAAATAAATAAATGCACTTTTTTTGCTTAAAAAAATGTGAATCTATTGTTTTTTTGCTTAGGACCCTGCAAAGCATTGCACCTTGTCAGGTTCCTTCAGACTCTCAGTATACTGTCTGCCCGTACCTCCGATGTGGGCTGACAGTTACTTAAGCCCCAGAAGAATCAATGAACTATGAGAGCACTCACCATCGAGAGCTATAAGCCATCTGCTTAAATTGTGACAAAGGGATATGGGAAGAGAATCCCCCATCTGCTGTCACAATGGGGGATCGGGTCGAGCTGCGGGCAGGTACTTTAGTAACATGTTAATAAAGGTGAATTTATCCTTTAATATTCTAGCCATTAGAATGAGTTTACACTTATATACGCATAAACATCACATGTACAAATACGCGCATAAACATCACATGTACAAATACGCGCATAAACAGCACATGTACAAATACGCGCATAAACATCACATGTACAAATACGCGCATAAACAGCACATGTACAAATACGCGCATAAACAGCACAATGTTACAAATACACGCATAAACATCACATGTACAAATACGCGCATAAACATCACATGTACAAATACGCGCATAAACAGCACATGTACAAATACGCGCGTAAACAGCACATGTACAAATACGCGCGTAAACAGCACATGTACAAATACGCGCGTAAACAGCACATGTACAAATACGCGCGTAAACATCACATGTACAAATACGCGCGTAAACAGCACATGTACAAATACGCGCGTAAACATCACATGTACAAATACGCGCGTAAACATCACATGTACAAATACGCGCATAAACAGCACATGTACAAATACGCGCATAAACAGCACATGTACAAATACGCGCATAAACATCACATGTACAAATACGCGCATAAACATCACATGTAAAAATACGCGCATAAACATCACATGTACAAATACGTGCATAAACACCCAAAATATGCAACATTAGAGGCTTTTTTTCTGCCAAGTTCTGGCTTGAGATTTGCCAAACAACATTTAATAAGAAGTCAAACCCAAACAACACTTTCAGTTGTATCCAAATAGGCAGGCCCTTGTACTACATAGTTGAGGGTAAATCTGAAGGAAATTGGGCAGAAATTGGACAGAAAATTGTAAGAAAATTGTATAGTGTATGGCCAGCCATAGTTTAAAATAAATCTAATGAAATTAGGCAGAAATTGGACAGAAAATTGTATAGTGTAAGGCCAGCCTAAGACTATACCCAGCCCTCAGCATAAAGTCGAGAGCTGAGAGCTGTAACTGAACCATCAACAGCTCTATATGCGAGGAAGTGGAAGGATACCTGGACTGTAAAGTACAATGAAAGGCAAACTTTTTTTAAGGTTTGGATAGAGTGGAGAGGGATTGGATCACCTAACAGGTTTTTATTGTCATCTGTGTCCCTGTTAGGGAGATTCACCTTCTCTGTTTGTCCTGTTTACCATTATCTTTGAAATAAAAATACATTTCTAATTTCGGGTTGTACACAAAACAAGATTAACTACTTGCCCTCCAGAGAATTTACCCCCCTTCCTGACCAGGCCATTTTTTGCACTATGATGCTGCGTTACTTTAACTGACAATTGCGCGGTCATGCAACGCTGCAACCAAATTGAACTTATTTCCTTTTTTTTCCATAAATAGAGCTTTCTTTCAGTGGTATTTGATCACCTCTGTTTTTTATTTTTTGCACTATAAACAAAAAAAGGCCGACAATTTTGAAAAAAAAACCCAATATTTTTTAATTTTAAACATATCCAGTAAAAAAAAATTAAAATCCAATTTCTGCATAAATTTAAAACAAAATGTATTCTGCTACATGTCTTTGCTAAAAAAAACAAACCAGTACATGTAAATTAATTGGTATACGTAAAAGTTATAGCTTCTACACATGGCATCATAGATACTTGATATTTTTTTTTCATACTAGTAATGGCGGTGAACAGCAAATTATAGCAGCATTCTGACACTGCGAGGGGAACTGACTAACTGTCACTGACATCCCAGTGACACTAATACAGTGATCAGTGCTAATAAAAAGCACTGACATTGTACTAATGACACTGGTCAGGAAGGGGTTAACATCTGGGGCGATCAAAGGGTTAACTGTGTGCTGTTTTACTAAGTGTGCTGTGTGTTTTACTATGGAAACGTACTGCTGTGTATTTCTCTGTTGTGCAGAGAAATACACAGCAGTATGTTACTGCTGGCAAGAGAGAGACCTGTGTTGTTTACCTACAGGTCTCTCCCTTGTCACTGATAGTCGGCCACAGGAGCGGACTGACAATTCATGGGGCCCCCGGGCAATAAGGGATCATGGGGCCCCCATGTCCTCGTCCACACCCAAAAAAGCCTATGAAAAAGCCAATGAAAGGTACCAGGAGCATCTCATGGGGCCCCCTACTTACCTCGGGCCCTTGGGCAGTGCCCGAGTGCTCAAATGGTCAGTCTGCCCCTGGTCGGCATCGTTGGGTGCCAGCAGGGAATCCCTGGCTGGGACCTGGTGATTGACAGCTGTAGCTGCCACCGGCAGCATGAGTAGGGCTACGTGCGTGCACACCCCCTACCAGAAAATGCAAAATCACATATATATACGTGATTTCATGCAGCCATGCCGCCCTGTAGCAGTAGTTTTGCTATAGGAAGTAGAGATGAGCGAAGTATTCAAAAATTCGATTTGGCTAATTCGGCGAATTCGAGGAATAAATTCGATTCCAGGCGAATATATTCGCTGCGAATTTAACGTATAAAAAGGGTGTTTCTAGGCTTCAGAGAGCCTTTATATTAGTGCAGAACACTGTACCTTTAATTTAAATGCCCTTGGAGTCTGCTGGGGAAGAGAAATAATACTGTCAGTCAGTATGACATGCAGATGAGTGCCGTCGATCTTAGAATCACCGCACACTTCACTCATTTGGGCAGTCACGGGGCCAAAACCAGAGTGTGGAGCCACAGTGTGGCGGTGGAGGCAGCAGCAATGGGAGGCCATACAGCACCCTATGACAAAATGGAACCCACCAGCAGTGTGAGGAGACCTGAAAGTGGCACATGGCAGAGTGTGGCGATGGAGACAGCAGCAATGGGAGGCCGTACAGGGACCCATGAGACACTCTGGACCTGGCAGCAGCATGAGGAGGCGGTACAGGGGCCCATGACAGATTACGGGCCTGGCAGCAGCATGAGGAGTCGGTACAGGGGCCCATGGCAGATTACGGGCCTGGCAGCAGCAATGGGAGGCCATACAGCACCCTATGACAAAATGGAACCACACGAGCAGTGTGAGGAGACCTGAAAGTGGCACATGGCAGAGTGTGGCGATGGAGACAGCAGCAATGGGAGGCCGTACAGGGACCCATGAGACACTCTGGACCTGGCAGCAGCATGAGGAGGCGGTACAGGGGCCCATGGCAGATTACGGGCCTGGCAGCAGCAATGGGAGGCCCGTAATCTGCCAGCACCCTATGACAAAATGGAACCCACCAGCAGTGTGAGGAGACCTGAAAGTGGCACATAGCAGAGTGTGGCGATGGAGACAGCAGCAATGGGAGGCCGTACAGGGACCCATGAGACACTCTGGACCTGGCAGCAGCATGAGGAGGCGGTACAGGGGCCCATGACAGATTACGGGCCTGGCAGCAGCATGAGGAGTCGGTACGGGGGCCCATGGCAGATTACGGGCCTGGCAGCAGCAATGGGAGGCCCGTAATCTGCCAGCACCCTATGACAAAATGGAACCCACCAGCAGTGTGAGGAGACCTGAAAGTGGCACATGGCAGAGTGTGGCGATGGAGACAGCAGCAATGGGAGGCCGTACAGGGACCCATGAGACACTCTGGACCTGGCAGCAGCATGAGGAGGCGGTACGGGGGCCCATGGCAGATTACGGCCTGGCAGCAGCAATGGGAGGCCCGTAATCTGCCAGCACCCTATGACAAAATGGAACCCACCAGCAGTGTGAGGAGACCTGAAAGTGGCACATGGCAGAGTGTGGCGATGGAGACAGCAGATGGGACAGCAGCACACTCTGGGAGCAGCATGAGGAGGCGGTACAGGGGGGATTACGGGCCTGGCAGCAGCATGAGAGGGGCCCATGGCAGATTACGGGCCTGGAGCAGCAATGGGAGGCCCGTAATCTGCCAGCACCCTATGACAAAATGGAACCACACCAGTGAGGAGACCTGAAAGTGGCACATGGCAGAGTGTGGCGATGGAGACAGCAGCATGGGAGGCCGTACAGGGACCCATTGGACCTGGGGCCTGGCAGCAGCATGAGGAGAGCGGTACGGGGGGCCCATGGCAGATTACGGGCCTGGCAGCAGCAATGGGAGGCCTGTAATCTGCCAGCACCCTATGACAAAATGGAACCCACCAGCAGTGTGAGGAGACCTGAAAGTGGCACATGGCAGAGTGTGGCGATGGAGACAGCAGCAATGGGAGGCCGTACAGGGACCCATGAGACACTCTGGACCTGGCAGCAGCATGAGGAGGCGGTACAGGGGCCCATGACAGATTACGGGCCTGGCAGCAGCATGAGGAGTCGGTACGGGGGCCCATGGCAGATTACGGGCCTGGCAGCAGCAATGGTGAGGCCCGTAATCTGCCAGCACCCTACAGGGACATGAACAATGGAACCCACCAGCAGTGTGAGGAGACCTGAAAGTGGCACATAGCCCATCTGAGTGACAAAATGGCGCATGGAGACAGCAGCAGATGGGATGGGACCGTACAGGGAGGCCCCATGAGACACTCTGGACCTGGCAGCAGCATGAGGAGGCGGTACAGGGGCCCATGGCAGATTACGGGCCTGGCAGCAGCAATGGGAGGCCCGTAATCTGCCAGCACCCTATGACAAAATGGAACCCACCAGCAGTGTGAGGAGACCTGAAAGTGGCACATGGCAGAGTGTGGCGATGGAGACAGCAGCAATGGGAGGCCGTACAGGGACCCATGACACACTCTGGACCTGGCAGCAGCAAGAGGAGGCGGTACAGGGGCCCATGGCAGAGTGGCGAAGCGTAAGCAGCTTAAATTGAAGGCCATACAGAGGCCTATGTTAAAAATAATAACATGTTTGGGGCATGATTCATGGCGGATTTAGTCAGTTGTGTCAGGAACTGGTGGTTTGAAATCCAGACTACTCCACGCCTGATTCATTTTCACAAACGTGAGTCTCTCCACACTTTGGGTGGACAGTCGTGTCCTCCGCGGAGTTACAATACCTCCTGCCGCACTAAACACGCGCTCCGATGCCACGCTACTGGCCGGGCATGACAGCCTTTCAAGGGCAAATTCAGCTAGTTGGGGCCAAAGGTCAAGTTTCGTTGCCCAGTAGTCAAGGGGATTGTCTACCTCGGTTGGCAGGGTGCTGTCCAAGTAGGCCCAAGCCTGTTGTTTGAGGTCCTGCTCCAGGTCCACCTGATGCTGCTGCTGCTGCGGCTGGTTAGTAGTTTTCCTCACTGCGCTGGTGAAGAAAGCTACTCATCATCGACTGCAGACTGAGGCAGCCGCTGCTGGTGGAGCTGCCACTGCTCCTACCACCCCACCCCTCCCCTGCTGCCATGGCAGCGGAACGCGAGCGCACAGGGCCCACAGTGTCTGAGGATGGACGTTGGCGCAGAAAGGCAGAGACCAACTGACTACATAGGTGGTTTTTTATAGTACGTTATTTTGGCCTCCCTCTCAGCAGGTGTGAAAAAGGCCACCATTTTTGAACGGTAGCGAGGGTCCAACAAGGTGGACAGCCAAAAGTCATCCCTCTGTCTGATGGTTATTATTTGGCTGTCGCTACGCAAGCAACCGAGCATGCTATGGGCCATTTGTGCCAAGGAATGCGAGGGACTCCCTGCCTCCATCTCCACAGCATACTGCCACGGTGCGTCTGGGTCCTCTGTCTCCTCCTCCTCCTCCTCTACCAGATGCTCCTGCTCCTCCACTCCTGTCCGCTGAGTGGAAAAACCACCCATTTCACTCAATAATTCCTGAGCACCAATGTCCTCCTCTACCTCCTCCTCTTCTTCCTGTCCTGCCCCCACAGGGGTCATGTGGCGTTGAGATCTGTGCGCCACGTCTACCGCACCCTGACCAGCCATTGTTAACAGCATTTGTTCCAGGACGTGCAACAGAGGAATGACGTCGTTCATCCCATAGTCCTGCCGACTCACGAATAGCGTGGCCTCCTCAAAGGGCCTGAGCAAGCGGCAGGTGTCACGCATGAGCTGCCAATGGCTGACATCTAAGTTACACAGGGGAGTACCTTTATCCGCTTGTAACATCAGGAAATCGGTGATGGCCTTTCGCTGTTCGTAAAGGCGGTCTAGCATATGTAGGGTTGAATTCCACCTTGTTGCAACGTCGCAGATCAGGCGATGCTGTGGAATTCCGTTCTGCCGCTGCAGCTCAAGGAGGGTGTGCTTTGCGGTGTAGGAATGGCTGAAATGCATGCAAAGTTTACGTGACATTTTAAGGATGTCTTGCAGTGGGATGGTGGATTTTAGGAACCGCTTGACAACCAGACTGAACATGTGAGCCATGCATGGCGCATGGCACAACCTTCCTTGACGCAGAGCAGACACCATGTTCTTTCCGTTGTCGGTCAACATGGTTCCGATTTTCAGTTTGCGCGGAGACAGCCATCTGTCGATTTCTCTGTTCATTACACTCAGAAGTTCCTCCCCTGTGTGACTACGTTCGCCAAGGCATACCAGGTGCAGCACAGCGTGACACCGTTGCGCCCTGCACATGTGATATGCCGGTCGGGTAATGGGACTTGGCACGGGGGTGGCGGCTGAGGACACGGCGGAAGAAGAGGTGGTAGAGGCGGACATCTTTGCTGGACCAAGGACGTGCAAACGTGGAGGCAAAAGCGGCGTGACCTGTCCAAGTTGCTGGTGCGGCTGTGCCGGCACCACGTTCACCCAGTGGGCCGTAAATGACATGTACTGTCCCTGACCGTAGTTACAGCTCCACACGTCGGCGCTGCCGTGCACTTTGGCAGAGACCGACATGCTCAAAGACTGGCCCACCATCTCTTCTACATGTGAATGCAGGGCTGGCACTGCCTTTTTGGCGAAGAAATGCCGGCTTGGCACTCTCCACCGCGGCGCGGCACAAGCCATCATTTCTCGGAAAGGTGCTGAGTCCACCACTTGGAAAGGGAGGGACTGCAGCACCAGCAACTTGGACAGGAGGACGTTCAGCTTCTGCACCGTCGGGTGCGTGCTCGCAAACTGTTGTCTCTTGGAAACGGATTCCAAGAAAGACTGCTGACGGAATCCGTGAAGAGGAGTAGCAGGAGAAGGAGCATCTGAACGAGCGGAAGATGCCAACGAGCGACAACTCCCCCTCAGCAGAGGTGTTGGAGCCTTGACTGGCTGATAGAGGGCGATTGACGTCGGGTGACGGAGCAAGTAACGGAGCGGGTGATGGAGCGGGGGCTGGGGCAGGCAGAACCGCCGTATCTTTATCACGGTTTTCCCAGGCCACCGAATGGCGACGCTGCATATGCTGACGCAACGCTGTAGTCCCAACATGGGCCCCCTGGCCACGCTTGACTTTCTGGCCACATAGTCGACATACGGCTACGTTTACTTCCTCGGGCGGCTTGACGAAAAATTGCCACACCGCCGAGTAGGAAACTTTGCCCCCGCTACTCCTCACTGGCTGACTGCTACTTCCTCCGTGCACACCGGCACCACTACTGGCCGTGGTGGTAGGCTGCAGTGGAGCTGGTGTTCTACTCCGTGGCTGTTTGCCTCCACTGACACTGCTGCGACCCTGCTGCCTCCTGGGCAACCCACCGACTGTTTTGCTCGCTGCCAAGCTGGCACCCTCTTCTCCTGATGATGCGGAAGCAATAGCCTGATGACGACGAGGCTGCCAAGTGCGATCAGCCTCATCATCATCAATTAGGGTCTCCGCCTCACTACTAGCCCCCTCGGCTGCGTGTGGGTCAGGAGACAGACCTGTCTCTAGACCGGCTACCGAGCCACTCTCCTCGCCAGTACTTCTTCGCCTGGCTGCTGAAGAGGCGGATGTCTCCCCCCGTTCCTGACCGCCCTCTGTTAGCTCTTCCTCACTGTACAGTGGGGCTGAGCCCACAGCATGCGATACTTCGCTTGGTGAGGGAACACCAAAGGACAGGGGCAGGTAGAGGACACGTGATTTCAGTGGGCTTGCTGCCGGGCCATGCCAACTAACGGTTGTGTCTGACGTACCCACCGACCGTTGGCTGTAGGTGTCAGAGGTGACCTGGGAAGAGGAAGACGACCGAGCCAACCAATCGATGACGGCAGGGTTGTCGGTGGAGACACGACCGCTGGATGACACTGGGAGCACTGGCCTCTGGCTGCGACTAGTGCTGCCTCGACCCCTTCCTCTGCTGCCACGTCTGCTCGCTCCTGAAACATTGCCTCCTCTGCCACTCCTCTGCGTGTTGTCTGACATACTAAAGAGAATTCAACGATTCTGTGTCCCTGAGTAAACGATTCTGTGTCCCTCAGTAACGATTCTGTGTCCCTCAGTAACAATTCTGTGTCCCTGAGTAACAATTCTGTGTCTGTCCCTGAGTAACAATTCTGTGTCCCTGAGTAACAATTCTGTGTCCCTGAGTAACAATTCTGTGTCTGTCCCTGAGTAACAATTCTGTGTCCCTCAGTAACAACAATTCTGTGTCCCTCAGTAACAATTCTGTGTCTGTCCCTGAGTAACAATTCTGTGTCCCTCAGTAACAATTCTGTGTCCCTCAGTAACAATTCTGTGTCCGTCAGTAACAATTCTGTGTCTGTTCCTGAGTAACAATTCTGTGTCCCTGAGTAACAGTTCTGTGTCCCTGAGTAATAATTCTGTGTCCCTGAGTAACAATTCTGTGTCCCCCTCAGTAACAATTCTGTGTCCCTGAGTAACAATTCTGTGTCCCTGAGTAACGATTCTGTGTCCCTCAGTAACAATTCTGTGTCCCTGAGTAACAATTCTGTGTCCCTGAGTAACAATTCTGTGTCTGTCCCTGAGTAACAATTCTGTGTCCCTGAGTAACAATTCTGTGTCCCTGAGTAACAATTCTGTGTCTGTCCCTGAGTAACAATTCTGTGTCCCTGAGTAACAATTCTGTGTCCCTCAGTAACAATTCTGTGTCCCTGAGTAACAATTCTGTGTCCCTGAGTAACAATTCTGTGTCTGTCCCTCAGTAACAATTCTGTGTCCCTCAGTAACAATTCTGTGTCTGTCCCTGAGTAACAATTCTGTGTCCCTGAGTAACAGTTCTGTGTCCCTGAGTAACAATTCTGTGTCCCTGAGTAACAGTTCTGTGTCCCTGAGTAACAATTCTGTGTCCCTGAGTAACAATTCTGTGTCCCTAAGTAATGATTCTATGGCCCTAAAGTCTCTTTGGCCCTAACTCTGTCCCTAATACAGAGAGGTCTGTCTCTCTTGAATGACCGGAGGCTAATGGAGAATTCTAAGATGGCCGCAATTTATAGCTCGACCATTACACAGTGTGCTGGCTGGCTGCTGATTGGCTAATGCGATCACATGTCATGAATGAATGCATTATGGGTCAGCGCGCCTTGTCAGCGTGCCTTCCCAGAGATCCCCGCTCCGTCGCCACACATGTCGCCGCCATTTTTGGAGAATTTTTCCTAATCTTCGAAACGAATTCCACTTCGCCAAGTTCGATTCGCTCATCTCTAATAGGAAGGTTGGGAAGTGGTTAAAGGGAAAATCTTTCACTGGGGACACTAGTTCTGATAACCCTGGTGGAAACCAAGGATTTCCTCACTTTGGAGGGATTTGGCTATGGGACAGGAATTAAAGAGAAATCTTCTCAATGAGACACAGATGACAAAAACAAACTGACAGGTTATTGCCAAAAAAATAAAATTGTAAAATATAATGAAATAAAATAATAAAAATAAAAAACTACTGACACTGTCCACTGCCCTACTGAAATAAGCCTTGGCCCTATTAGCACCATCCTCTCCGGGG